GCCGAGCCGCCCCCTCCGCGGCTGCGGCGAGCTCGCCCCGCTCTGCAGCCGGACGCTGCGGCCGCCTTAGCCTGCGCCGCCGCCAGTCCCTCCTCGTGCGCGTGTAGGCGCCGTGTCTGCCAGCAGCTGAGTCCTCGGCGCGGCGCACCCAGGTACCCGCCCTCGCGGCGCCCTGACAGGTGCCGAGTCCGCGCTGGACCCCACCTGCAGCGGCCGCCGCGATGTCCCCCATGCGGAGGACCGTGTCTGAGATCCGCTCGCGCGCCGAGGGTGAGTGCCTGCCGCCGGCAGTGGCTGTGCGAGGGCCGCTCGGAGCAAGGGTCGGGCGGTGTGCGCGCGAGGGAGACAGTGTGTGTGTGTGTGTGTGTGTGTGTGTGTGTGTGTGTGTCCGCCCGCTCGCGCGCATGCTTGTGTTTGTGTGGGAAAACACTTCGTCCACCTCCAGCCTCCAGCAGTCTGACTCTAGCGCCTGGTCCCTAGGGGATCGTTCCCTGTGCTGTCTTCGATGCACTGGCAGACTGGGCTTCAGAACCGCCCAATTGGTGTCCTGGGCTGGAGCCCCATGCTTGCTTTACGCCGCAGTGTGATCATTCTGTCTGTGTCACCGACTGTTCTCCCTGCTCACCTTTCTCTCCATTAGCGTTCTGCCCTCCCGGTTCCCACTCAGTACCCGCCCCCATGATCAGATCGCCAGCCCATGGCTGCGCCTCCAGCGCCCACCTTTTTGCAGCCCCCATATTACAGCTCCCCCAGGAAAAATGGGGTTGCCTTTCCCAGGCTGCAGGGTCCTTTGGTCTGTAGCCCCTTTGGCTCCTTGGGTGCCAGGATCCTTAATCCGGGTTGGTTATTCAGTGGGTACAGTGCGTTACAGTCTTTGCAATTCTGCCTCCCAGCAGCGTCTTGCCAGGCTGTGGTCTGAGGTTTCATTTTAGGTTTCCCTTTAGCCTGAAACCTGCACTTCTGCCAGTTGAACTGAGGAGCTAGGTGAAAGCTCTTCTCTTTGCTCCACCCAGGGCCAGCTGTTGAATGGCCATACTTGTGGGCATTGAGCAACAGATGCCCAACAGCATAGGCAAGGAAGCTTTCAGAGGACCATCCTGGCTGATGAGCGCCAGGGTTCTGTCTGACCTGTGGCAAGTGCTCAGTAAATGTTTAATGATTTTTGTTCAGGGCAGTGCCAAGAGTGTGCATTTCGTGAATCTTGTCTATAACGCTCATGACGCTATACTTCCTGTGCTTCAACCTTTCAAAAAGGGATGACATCGTTTTTGGAAGCTCCTCTGTCTTGTCATTATCACTGAATCTCACACTTCTGCCTCCTCCTCACCCTAATGCGAGGCAGTAGGGAGAAGTTAGGAGAGTAGGATTCCAGCGGTTTAAAAAGGGTATTTCATTTCTCTTCTGTAGTATGTTTATGTAAAAACAGCGTTCCTGGATTCTGTTATCTAGGATTTTTTTGATTCCCTTGACTTAGAAAAGTATTAAACTGCTTTGCAGAGAAGGCCACACGAGTAAAACCAGCCCTGGATCCTACATAGGAATTTAGAGTACATATTTATTGTCATTATAATACCAACAATCTTCTCTAGAATAATATCACAGTTTTGCACAGCTGAGTAGCTATTTAAAGTGCACCCAGAAAAAAAAGTTACACACTTTTATACCCTTCTGAACGAAATGATCAATTTTGTTAATCACTCTGTGAGCCATGGAGGTGTTGAAAATATACTGAGAATAGTTGGTGATGTTGAAAATATAAGGGTAATAGCAATTGATGGATCCTATGTTGTGTGGGAAAGGGACAAGAGAAAAAATCTATAAGCAATACAGAATCTGTGACATGAGAGGTGATTTTATCAGTATCAAAAGGCTGCTGTATTGTTTTTGATTTGCATATGTAGTTTTCAAAGCACCTCACAAGGATTACTTTATGGGATCTTACAACACTCTTATCTGCTAGTTGAGGAAACTGTGACCCAGAATAGTTTCATAACCTGCCCAAGGTCAAGTAGCTAGTCTGGTGACACAGTTGGATTTAGGGCTCTTGGGAAATAAGAACCACTCCTTATTTAATCTTTGTACTCCCTGTGTATCCAACAGTGTCAGGCATTGTGGTGCATGGTGCGTAACCCTTCCCTCTCATGCTAATGGATTTATATATTCAACATTTTCTCTGGGACTGTGGTGGACAGTCACTCTGGGCTAATAATGTGGCTTCTGCCTGCTCTCCTTGTTTCTTTCTTGCCTAAGGAACAGTCTCTTTTGACAGCTTCTACTTCCCAAAGAGCTTGTTCTGAACAGCAGTTTCTCTGGTCTTGGCTGATTGATAGGCTCTGGACCTAAAGGCAGCCACTTGTACTTGCTACTTTGTGGTTTGGCCAAAACGAATTTTTGGACTATCTTGTCTCTCTTGGGAAACATTAAGGTGAGAGATTTTGAGTGAAAGTCATCCAGCAAGGCAGAGTGAATAGGCTAGCAAAGGAAAGAATGTATGGCTATAGAAGGTCATGCAAATACTGCTCATGTAAGAAGCTATGAGTGAAAAGATAGGAAAAGTGATGAAAAAGATACAGAGATGCAGATACTGAGAGAGGGTGGCTAGACCTTGGAGTCCTCTGTCCCTACGTTTTCTATCTGCAATTTTGAAGTAGCATTAAAATAACCCCCTCCACCCCAAATGGGTTTTTGTTCCTTAAATCCACATTGGCCAGATGCATGACTGTGTTGCCTATACATTATTTACAGCCAAATTAGAGAGAAAGGATTCAAATAGGGAACAAGTAGTCTAAGAGGGGATGTTGTTAATTAAGCATTGTGCTTACTATGGGTAGCCTAGGCCCTGTGGAAGATCAGGGGTTGAGCACTTATTTATGCCTGAGCAGGTGAATAGTTCACTGAGGTATGATCTGAGGAGTCTTCATGCAATGCTTTTCTAATGTTAAGGTACAAAAAAATTACTTGTAGATCTTGGTGTGTAGATGTGGATCCTGATTCAGGAGGTCTGCAGTTAGGGCCAAAATTGTTACATTAGTGTCAAGCACACAGTAATGCTAGATGCTATTAGCCTGCAGATGAGTCTTTAACAGGTATTGCCATGCATTTCAGTAGCTGGGAGGGTGCTGGTGGCAAAGAGTAATGATGTGAAAAAAAGGGTGGCAGCAAGCATGACATATTTGAGTTCTCAGGGAAATTGGCTAGAAGCAGAGGGAAACGTAAAGGAGTTTGGAGTAAGTTTGGATAGGTAAAGTACTGCTAGATTACAGAGCACTTTAAATGCCAAGATGAGTAGTTTGGATTAAAGCATTTGAACAGGATCTTAGAGCTCATCTAGTTTCTCATCTGAATATGACACCAATACATAATCACTGACATGGCCAGTATGGAGCTAAAGCATTGTGAAAGAGTGATGTCCAAAAACAACTAGCTTAGGTCAGTCAAGAAGTATGCTGTGGGGGCTGGAGAGATGGCTCAGTGGTCTAAAGCACCTACTTGGAACAAGCTTGGCAAGGCATCAGGGACCGTGGTTGGATCCCCCAGCACCACATGCCAGCCAGCCCCGCCCCCTGGTGGGCTGAGCTGGCCACACACACACACACACACACCACACTCTCTCTCTCTCTCTCTCTCTCTCTCAAATAAATAAAAATAAGAAAAAAAAAAAAAAGTATGCTGGAAGGTTTGGAGGGAAAGGCACTGTGGATAGGCCAAGAAAGAAAGTCTTGGAACAACAAGGTCCAGATTAGCCCTGGAGAGGACCAAGAGAATGGGAACTGAGGAATCATCCAACAGATATCTATCAGGTACTTCCAGGGATACATCTTGCAGCAGAAGCAGCTATAGGTGCTTCTATTCTAGAGAGGCAGGGGTCAAAGGAAACCCCCAGAACGAGCAGATTATAGTCTTATTTGGGAGACTATTGGAAAAATAATGAGAAGGGAAAGATGTGTAAGGATGGTGGGTAGAGTTCAGTTTTAAGGTTGGCAAAGTTGACCCAAGGCCATGAGAGTGTTAGCCTGGTGGGGAAGGAGATACCAGGCAGGGGGAACAGGCAGAGGTAAGGACTCAAGGCAGGAGGGTCTGTAGTGTTAAAGAAGCAGGGAGGGGAGAATAGTAAGAAAGAAGGCCCCATAATGGGATTTAGCTTTATAGTCAACACTAGAAAGGAGATGACATAGGGATATTTTGTAAGATGATAGTTCTCAAACCAAAGTTTCACAGCTCATTACAATGAAGCTTGATAGGCTAGCTCATGAAGGTTCTGAGGAGCAGATCTGAGGTGGGCCCAAGGATTTACATTTCTCATAAACCTTCTGGAATTTTCTGGAACTGCTGAGACACACTTTGAGGAACTCTCCATTACAGTTTTAAACCTGACTGGGAAAATTTATTATGTGATAAGGGAACCAAGGACAACAAAGAAATGCCATAAGAGAAATAATAACACAAATTTTGATATAATTGTGTGACATCCAAATTGAAGTGTTTTAAAGATATTTAAACATTTTGAGTTTAACTATAAGAAAAGAACTTACTTGGAATCTGGAATTCAGAAATAAAAGTTGGAACCTGAGAATTGTTAAATTTCCAAGAGTAAATTCAGAAGGCTAAGAATTTTAGATCTCTTCACTTCTGTCCCAGCCAAATCAAATGGATGTCTGAAGACATAATGAGTTATCTAGAAACAGGAGCTGAAATAATGAGGGCTCACACAAAAGCCGTTTTTTTTCCCCTTCTATACAACTCCCATGGAGGGGAAAAGAGGGAGTCAGGGCAGAGGTAGCTTCTCACAGTCCTAAAGGATGTCAGTGCCTGTGCCTTTCTACCTCTCCTCCTGTGCAGATAACTTCCATAAGTCACAGTGCTACAGGAAAAGTATAACTCCTGACCTCTTAGATGGCAGATGTACTGGGTTCGTGGTCTTACAACATCAAAGAATGGAGTCATAAATCAAAGGGGACACTTAGGGGAATTTTATTGGAAATAAAGAATAGTCCTGAGTTGGTGGTTGCTGAGGCCCTTTGTCAGGGGTTACTTATATAGCAAAGTCACAATGTGGGTACAGTGTGGATCAAACTACAGTCAACCTATAGGATTACAGGATAGCCCCTTAGCTAATATTGAGCCAGTGGGGAAATCAATCACTTAGCAAGGGTATGGAAGGAACAGATGCTTTTTGGGGAAAGGATGTGTCTAGATTCTCTGGTCATACACCTGGGAGCCTGGTGCCCAGCTGGGTTAACTAGACCAGGTGATCCTAATTACAGTATAAT